CTGAATACTCCAAGAAAGAACATGTCATATCCCATAAAGCCAATCCCTTCTGCTTAGGAAAACCATCTTTTTATGGAACAGACACAATTTACCCAAGTCTTCTTGCCGTATAGAAGACCTACACTCCATCTACATCAGAGCAGCCTCAGTAACATCAGAATTTTGTAGACATTACTGTTATACCTAAGCATAAAATTTAGCTACACGGCCTCAGTAACATCAGAATTTTGTAGACATTATTGTTATACCTACGCATAAAATTTAGCTACACTTAGAAAAGAGGAAGCGAATTCATGACTGACCTGATTTGGATTTTTTGGATATTAAGTCATCTGCTGGCACCTGGCATCTTCTTCTGCGAGAAGTGGATGCTACCTCTTGGACAGGATTAAGCTCTTTTCCTTGATTTCCAGACTGGTTATTTTTTTTTTCAGAACCAGGGGATGTCGAACACACATTCTGAGGTTCCAAAGCGTTACCATTTTCTGGCAAGTCGCTGTTTTTAAGGACAGAAGTGGAATCAGCTGCCTCTGATGCGAATTCTACTTTTTCCCTCTTACTCCTCAATTGCCTGGTTTTTCCCTGGGATGAATTATTTTCTAGAGATGTATCTTCACCTTCTTTAAGAATCCTCTTTTGACCTCTACCTTTGGGCAAGGTAGGTTGTTCTCTGAGACAAGTGGAACTACCATCTTCACATTTAGAAGCAACGTTTCTCTTTCTGCCCCTTCTTGGAAGATTTTCTTTTGCAGACGGAGCTACTTCCAAACCCCTACTCTGCTGTTCTTCAGGAGCTTCATTCTTCCCACCTTCTGGCAAACCTTGAAGCGAGGTGGAACTAACAGCCAGCGAAGTGACTGTCTGCCCTGAGGTTTCTTTTGAAAGATCTGGTTTTTCTTGGGAAGTGCAATTTTCCAAAATCAGCTTCTTTGCTTCCCTACAATTATTCTTTCTACCACTTTCTTCTGATGAGCTGAGTTTTCCCTGAATAGAAGTTGTGGCTTCTAACAAGAGGGCAATTTCTTTCCTTCTGTCTTTTCTCTGCTGATTTTCTTTCACAGCTGATTCAAGGTTTTCTAATGGAACATTTTGATCTTCTTTAGGAGCTTCCTCTCTACCATGCTCTGCTGGCAAAGCACGTTTTCCTCTACGAGAAACACAAGTAGCTGTGTGTGATGCCAGAGCAGTTTCTTTCTTTCTGCCCCTTCCTAAGGGCTTCTCTTTTGCACAGGACACTGTCTCCAAAGGCATATTTTGCTCTTCATTAGTACCCTCCTCTTTATCATCGGTTTCTGACAAGCCACATTTTCTCTGGAGAGAAGCTGAACTTTTCGCCTCTGCTGCTAGATCAATCTTTCTCCTTTTGTCCCTTGCCGACGCATTTGCTTTTGCCTGCAAAGTTTTATTTCCCAAAGCTGGAGTTTGATCTTCTCTCACAGTCATCTTTTCATCATTACCTTCCAGCAACCCTCGCCGTTTTCTGACAGAAAGAGATCTAGATCTTTGCGAGGCTGCAGCAACCTCTTGTCTTTTCCCCCGTCTCGATGGATTGTCTTCTGCTGAAGAGGGAGTAGCTTCCAAAGCTGAATCTTGCTCTTTTACAAAAGCCTCGTCTTTGCTATGATCTGCAATTAATGCTTGTTTTTCCGTAAAGGTGGAACAAGCTACCTGAGGAATAGAATTGACCTGCTTTCTCCTGCTCCTCCTTACTTGTGGAGAAGGAATTTCCGAAGTCTCACGCTGACCATCTTTGGAAGTCCTTCCTTTGTCCTCCCCAGGTGAACTCCTTTTTCCTCCAACCGCTTTGGAACTGACTTCTTTGAGTTCAAAATTAACTTTTCTACCTCTACCTCTTCTACAGGTCGTCCCCTCTCTGTGTGCTTGGTTCTCTTGCAGGATTTCACTTGGCTTTGGTTTAACTATTTCTTGCTCATTTCTTGGCCGCTTTTGGCAGCTACAAGCGAGGCTGTCGCCGTTTGCAGTTTTTGACACAGCAGCCGCGTTCTTCAGGTCCTTTGTGACTTGGTCTGTGTTACTGACACAAACAGAGCTCAAAGGATCTTTGAGAGAAAATTCACCCACCTCTGTTTCCAACTTAAATTTGGGAGTAATTAGTTCTAGGTTGTTTGAATCTTTGGCAAGTTCCTCACGCTTTTTCTCCAAAGACTCTTTTCTGCCTCTCCTGCTTCTAGTCCTGTTGGTTTCCTGCACTGCACTTCTGGTTGCTTCCAAGTTGAGAGCAGTGACTGGCAGTTTGGTTTTCTCTCCAGAGGGTGACTCTGCCTTTAACGTCTGAGATGGCTCTGTCGTATTTTCCTGAGCACTTTTTGTTTCATCTCCCTGAGATACTTTAAGTTCATTTTTGAGGTGTGATTGCGTTTCAGTCGAAGCTTCCTCAGCTTTCTGCACGTTTTGGGTATTTTCAAGTGCCATCTCGCAAACATCCTTTACTTCAGTTGAGCGCTTTCTAGCACTTCTTAAAGACTTAACTCTTGCTTCTGTTACCTTTATTTCAAGTTTAGTTCTGTTTTCTTCCGCTTTTGCAGTCTCAGTATCTCTGCCAGAAGTCAGTTCATCTCTCTGTACCATCTTTGATGAGAAGTCTTTACAAAGCCTCCTTGTGGTCCCATGAAGGTCTTCTGCAGAAGTTTCTTTAACTTGGTCATTTTTAGCTCTTCTTCCTCTTTTAGGTAGAATCAGTGGTTCTGGATTTTCCCTTTTTTTCACTCCTCTAGTCCTCCGCCGAGGTGACAGAAGCATTTCGTTGCCGTTTTCTATGCCACCTTCATTAGAGTAATTTTCAGGATTTTTAACATCTGTTTGCAGCTGACAATTTTCATTTTGACTGCTACTAGACACACTGACTGCCTTTACGGTTGGATCGCCTTCAGTTTCTATCATGTCATTGAGGCCATTTGCCTGCAAAATCTGTTGGATATTTGCAGGTTCTTTTTGGAGCACCGAAGAATCTTTGCCACAAGGCTCAAGATTCTCACTCGCAGGTTTTAACTCCTTCAGTTCCTTCCTTTTTCCTCTTGTCTGTCTTTGAGTAGCTCTGGCTTCCACAAATGCATCAACTTCAACTTTGTCCTGAGCAGTTTGCTGTGGAACAACTTCTTCTTGGATGTAGCAGTTTGCTCTCCTTCCTCTTCCTTTGTTTTTAGCTACTGAAGTTGAAGTATCCATCTCTCCCATCTCCTCTTGGGTGCTCTTTTTTCCCAGATTTTGCGACTGCTTTAAATTCAATTCCTTTTCACGCTGTTTTGCTGAAGCAGGATGTGCCGCCTTGCACGGTCTGCCCCTTTTTGGCCTCTGGGTAGGTTGGTCCTCCCTAGCTGATTGCCCCTGTTGAGAATCTTCACCTTGTGAAATATTTCTTTTACCTTCTAAAGTAGATGTGGGGTTTTTTTTCCACCATTCCAAGTTTTTTTACATAGAAAAGAGCACAAATAGAAGTTATACATTACTGTGCCTGACCAACGTACTAGTGAGTTTTGATTTTTCAAACAGTCATCTTGTTCAAACAAATCACATTCAATATTCCTAATTTAACAACTAACAAATAAATATTTTGAACAATCCGTAGATCAAAGGCCAGGCTTCTACCCAAGGGTCGTTGGTTTATTTGATATGTAGCATTCTCAGGTTGAAGCTGCGTTCTTAAAGTCTTCGCAAAGAAAAAAAAAATTAAGGGGAAATCTTAAAATCAGGTTTTTTCACACTGGTGTGTTTGCAGATACCAACATTACCACACCAAACTACTACACTGTTACTTCCACGCAACAGAACTCCAGCACCTGGTGTTCATTAGGGATGACTGCACAAATTAGACGAGCTATGCACACTGCATATTTCTGAATTTTTAAAATATACGTTAAAACTTCATAATAACATATATTACCTTGTATATTCATTATTTCTGTAGTTAAAGCATTAGTACTTACCGGATTTATGGCTGGAATTAGTACAAGGATTATTTTTTTGCTTAGAATCCGTAACATTTATTGATCTGACCTAAGGGAATAAACAATAATCAATAAATACACGTCTGACGGGGCAAGAAGTAATGGAGCCAACCAGTACAAAAATTAATGTACAGTAGTATTTGAAAAAAGTCTTGACTGGTAATTTTCTCCAAAAATGAACTCAACTTAGTTTTATAATTGCATCCCTATATTTGATACTAGCACATAAACAGATCAAAATATTTGCCATCTAAGCTAGAGTAGCAGTTTTACAGTGAAAGATAACAAATATTACACAGATTTAAAAAAAAATATTAATTAAATGGGCTTAAAAGTGTCTAAACGATTGCTCCAAAGGAATCTGGGGTATTGAAGCTGAATAATGAGTGTTTTGTAGTATTTTGGTGTAATTCTACGCTGACAAGCAGCAAGCCTGGTGATACTCGGCATTTTACCTTTGAATCTCGGAATAAGCATAAAAATCAAACCTAATAAAATTCACAAACGACACAGGCAAATGTACAGTGATAAAGCTGTATCTGTAAAATAAGCATCTGCTCAGGAAGCAATGAATGAAAGACTTTGGGCCATAGCGAGCAATCCACTGGCCACACCATGACACGTTTTGTCAAAAGTTCAACACTTTTAGATACACAAAGAGAGAGTTTAAAATTGAACCTGTGGAGTATGAAGCTGCTGTATAAAGCAGACAAGAAATCCCTCCAACTGTACGCCTTGCTTATGAAAAGGAAGGCTGAGAAAGAGTTTGATTACAGTCTGGGAGAAATTCAAAGGGTGCTCTGTTCATAACAGGCACAGGTGACCAAAAAAAAAAACCCCATGTGCTCAGAATCAAATTTGTAATAAGCTACGTCTTCTAGTGGGGGGGGGCATACACTAGAAAAAGCTACCAAAGTGGTTTAAATAAAATTTTAAAAAAATTGCCATATTTCCCCTTTTCAAGCCAACATGAGGTGCCTTTAAGTACAATAACGTACAAGATGTCACACTAGGAGGTCTAAGGATTCATCCCTATCACAGGTTCAAAGCCCGAATACGTTCCTTCCAAAAGCTAAAGAAATATTTTACCTTAATATCCTCTGGTGTGCCAAACATTGCTGCAATTCCAACATAATCCACTTCAGAATCGGAACGTTTCTGCCTGGGCTCTGCCATAAGCCTTTGTAGACCCACAAAATCATCAACGGGTTGACACTTCTCTTTTGGGGTCTTCACCAACCTACTAATACCAAACATATCCTCGACGGGTTCAACTTTCTCCTTTGGTGTCTTGAAAATACGGCTGACCCCGATCATGTCTTCTACTGGTTGAGATTTCAACTTTGGTGTTTTCTTGATTGAAGTAACACCCACCACATCTTTTGCCACTTCCCTTTTTTGGGCTGGAGTCTTCGGCAATTTTTCAACAGCAATTTCATCTGTAACAGGTTTCAACCCTCGCTGCGGGGTCTGCATGAGCTGCTTGATGCCAGAAAGAACCTCAACTGGTTCTCGTTTCTGCTGCGGGGTCCTCAGGAGCTGCTTGATGCCTGACAGGACCTCAACTGGCTCTGGCTTCTGCTGAGGGGTTCTCATGAGACGCCTGATGCCTGACAGGACCTCAAGTGGCTCTGGCTTCCGCTGGGGGGTTCTCATGAGACACCTGATGTCTGACACAACCTCAGCTGGCTCTGACTTCTGCTCTGGTGTCCTCAGGAGCTGCTTGATACCTGATAAGGTTTCTACAGGCTCTGACTTCCGCTTTGGGGTTCTCATGAGCTGCTTGATGCCTGACAAAGCCTCAACTGGCTCTGATTTCTGCTTTGGGGTCTTCATTACCTGCTTGATGCCAGACAAAGCCTCTACAGGCTCTGATTTCCGCTTTGGGGTCTTCATGAGCTGCTTGATGCCCGACAAGTCTTCTACAGGCTCCGACTTCTGCTTCGGGGTCTTCATGAGCTGCTTGATGCCCGACAAGTCTTCTACAGGCTCCGACTTCTGCTTCGGGGTCTTCATGAGCTGCTTGATGCCTGACAAGTCTTCTACAGGCTCTGACTTCTGCTTCGGGGTCTTCATGAGCTGCTTGATGCCTGACAAGTCCTCTACTGGCTCTGACTTCTGCTTCGGGGTCTTCATGAGCTGCTTGATGCCTGACAAAGCCTCAACTGGCTCCGATTTCTGCTTTGGGGTCTTCATTACCTGCTTGATGCCAGACAAAGCCTCTACAGGCTCTGATTTCCGCTTTGGGGTCTTCATGAGCTGCTTGATGCCCGACAAGTCTTCTACAGGCTCCGACTTCTGCTTCGGGGTCTTCATGAGCTGCTTGATGCCCGACAAGTCTTCTACAGGCTCCGACTTCTGCTTCGGGGTCTTCATGAGCTGCTTGATGCCTGACAAGTCTTCTACAGGCTCTGACTTCTGCTTCGGGGTCTTCATGAGTTGCTTGATGCCCGACAAGTCCTCAATTGGCTCCAACTTCTGCTTTGGAGTCTTCATGAGTTGCTTGATGCCCGAAAAGTCTTCTACAGGCTCTGACTTCTGCTTCGGGGTCTTCATGAGCTGCTTGATGCCTGAAAAGTCCTCAGCTGTCTCCAACTTCTGCTTTGGAGCCCTCCTTTTCCTTCCTGATTTCACCCCAGACACTTGTTTTTCTGGAATAATTGACAAACTATTCACAGTAATATTTTCTTCCAGTATAAATATTCTTTTTTCAGGAGTTTTTGTGGCTATTGCATCGAACACAGACTTCAGAGACTCCTCTCTTAGAAAGTGACAAATGCCTGGACTATCTTGTCTCTGTTCTGAAGCATCTGAATTATTTAATGGTGACACCATCATCTCTCCTGAAATAAATAGTAGATTTATGTAATTTAGAAAAAGAATTAAACAGAAAATCCACACATTCCAACTACTATATAACTAAGGAAAATGAATTCAAACAGCTGGAGTCTATTGCAAAACAAAATCTAAAGATGTGCATCAACAATTAATTTGTTAATTAGCTTCTAAAAGCCATAGCATACATTTAAAAAATCAGTTATTAAAAAATTATTTTCTCATTTAACCAGATATAAAACTTCATGTTTTCTGTTGTCCCTAGAATAAATAAATATAGCAAAAAATTAAAGTTTTTTATTGTAATTTTCCTTCATGTTTTGAAGCAATACCAAGCATAAATCAGAAATTTTTGCATTAATGAACACACATTTGACCTTTTCTGACACTAGAAAGGAAAAAAAGACCAGAGGTTTTGTAAAATTTGTACCATAGATTATCTCAAGTTGGAAGGGACCCATAACAACAACCAAGTCCAACTTGCAAGATTACCTAGAACTAAACTGTATGACTAAGACTGTCACCCAGAAGGTCTTTAAACCCTGACACGCTCAGTGCTGTGTCCTCCCTGGGGCCCCTGTGCCAGTGAGTGACCACTCCTTTAGTGAAGAACTTTTCCTCAGCCTGAACTTCCTCTGATGCAGTTTCATTCCATTTCCTTGTGTCCTATTGCCAGTCTCCAGAGAGAGGAGACCAGTACCTCTCCCTCCGCTGCTCATCTCGATAGGTGGGACCACAAGGTCACCCCTCAGCTTTCTCCTCTCAAGCTGAAACAAGCCAAGTGATCTCAGCTGCTCCTTCCAAGGCTTGTCCTTGAGGCCCTTCACAATCTTGGTCACCCTCCTCTGAACACACTCCAACAGTTTGATGTCCTTGTATTGACATTCTCAAACTCCACACAGGACTGGGAGTGCAGCCCCCAGGATTGAGGACAATCACCTCCCCAGCTCTGCCGTGCTTGATGCACCCCAGGACACAGTTGGCCTTTTTGGTTGCCAGGGCACACCGTCAACTCATATTCAACTTCTTCCAGATTGTTCCACAGGGCTGCCCTCCCACGTACTGTCTCCCAATTTGTAGGTGTAACCAGGACTATCCCATACCAGGTAGAAAATCCAGCACTTTGGTTAAATTCCGTGTTTGATCACTGCTTGTCTCTCATCTGTGAAGACCTCTCCATCCTTGAGGGAGTCCAGAGCTCCTCCTAATCTAGTATTGCCAACTTCAATGTACATTCAATTCTTGTTTCCAGATCATTTACAAAAACATTAAAGAGCACTGGCCCTAAAATTGAGTCACCCCACTTACTATAACTCTTTGAGCCCGACTCACCAGCCAATTGCTTGCCCAATGTATTATGGGCTTGCCCAGCTCTGTGCCACACATTTTATCCAGAAGGATACTGTGAGAGACGGTATCAAAAGCTTGGCTAACATCCAAAAATACCACATCTACTGGCTTCCCCTGGTCCACTAGATGGGCGACCTTGTCACAGAAATAGCTGATTAAGCAGGACTTGCCCCTCATGAACCTGTGTTGGCTCGGACCAATGACCACCTTGTCTCTCAAGTGTTTTTCAGTAAGTGTCAGAACAACTTTCACCATCATTTTATCAGGCACCAAAAAGAGTCTGACAGGCCTAGTAATTAGCAGGGTCTTCCCTTTTACTCATCTTGAAATGTGGGACACTTACCAGCTTCCTGTTGACTGTGACCTCTCCAGACTCCCAATACTGTTACACGACAGCGGTTATTTAACAGACTAACAGAGGTGCCACAATAACACCGGCCAGCTACACTCAGTCTGCAGGTGGCTTGTACTTGGAAACATGCTTTACACAAATACTCATTACGGACCCCGTACAGGTGCTGTTTTTTGGAGTTCTTGGATTCTTTTGCATCCTGCTCATTACATATAGCAGAAAAGGATATTCGAGAGGAAAGTTTGGGAAAAGGTGAATTTTTCTGTCTGTACAGTACCAACTATTTACTTTCTTTTGCTATTTCCTAGCACAGTAAGCATGAGGAGTAGGACAAGCATAACCACACTGTTCTGAATAGAAATAGCCATCACTCCTCTCACTAGTAAAGAACTGAAACAAATCAAAGATTACAGGAAAAAAGTCTGGTTAGAACAACTCAGAGAAGTTGTCCATGGGACAGCACCGTGCCCTTGTGGCTAAGAGGGCCAGTGGGATCCTGGGGGGCATTAAGAAAAGTGTGTCCAGCAGGGCTGGGGAGGTTCTCCTGACCCTCTGCCCTGCCCTGGTGAGACCACACCTGGAATCCTGTGTCCAGTTGGGGGCTCCCCAGTTCCAGAGAGACAGGGACCTACTGGAGAGAGTCCAAGGGAGAGCTACGAGGGTGATCGAGGGACTTGAACATCTCTCCTATGAAGAAAGACTAAGAGAACTGGGGCTGTTTAGACTTGAAAAGAGAAGACCGAGAGGAGACCTTATTAATGTATATAAACACCTGAGAAGTGGGAGTCAAGAGGAAAGTGCTGGTCTCTTCTCAGTGGAGCCCAGTGACAGGACAAGGAATAATGGGTGTGAGCTAGAACATGGGAAGGTCTGCCTCAACATGAGGAGAAACTTCTTGGCTGTGCGGGTGCCGGAGCCCTGGCACAAGGTGCCCAGAGAGGGTGTGGAGTCTCCTGCTCTGGAGACTTTCCAACCCGCCTGGACACGTTCCTGTGGGGCTGCCCTGGGTGACCCTGCTCGGGCAGGAGGTTGGACTGAATGATCTCTAGAGGTCACTTCCAAACCCCAACATTCTATGAAGATACTAGATGAAGTTTGTTTTTTGTTTCGTGCAACACAGTTTAAACCAAATTTATAACAACAGAAATGCTATTTCTAGAATATACTCAAGCCCAAGCCATGAATATTTAAAGGCTAGTCTCGCTTTTGTCCCTGCAAAAATAGTGGCACAGGGCATCTAGAAAGACACACCTGGGCATAGGAAGAACAGGGCAATTGGGAACAGTCAGCATGGATTTACCAGAGGAAGATCATACCTGACCAGTCCAATTACCTTCCCTGATGAGAACAGCAGCTTTGGGGAAGAAAAAGAGAGCGTCGGCTATCATTTAATGCAACTCTGACAAGTTTTTCTACACCGTCTCCCAGAATAGTTTGGTATTCAGACAAGATCATGGCAGGCTAGAGGAATGGACAACTGGTTAAACAAGAACTAGTTGGATGATCAGGCTGAGAACTGCCGTTAATGGACCTGCAGAGCAGTGAGAGCACTGCAGGTGGGAGAACAGGCTGACTCCAGGAGTCCCTTATCCTTAACTACAACTACAATCTCAGTCTTAAAACTATCTGTTAATTTAAAAGTATAACCTTCATCTGCAAACTAGGAATAAAGTAGACACGTTCACTGGCGTCAGTTTTTAATGAATGCTTGTGGGGGCCAGTTAGCTCAGTTCCTTGAGCGTGGCGCTAACAACGCCAAGGTTGCGGGTTTGATTCCCGTTCGGTCCCCACGTGTTGCCTGATCTAGTCGAGAGGTGACGTCCCTGGCAGCAGGGAGGCTGGATTAAATGATCTCTAAGGTCCCTTCCAGCCTAGGATATTCTAGGATTCTATGACCTACCAATAGGTTGTCTTTGTAGCTCCCATCCTGTCAAGTCCTAACCATGAGATGTTCAAGTCCTTGAAAGCTCCTAGTTCTGCAGCATTAATAAACTGGTTTATTTGTAACTATATTCCCTCCATTATGAAACCAAACCATTTCTGACACGAAAGGACTGAAGTGTACAGAATCTAAAGGCTTGCCCATCGATTGAAGGAAAGCACTAATTAATAGGATAAGCAACAGTTGATAATGGATATCTTCAAGCAGATGACAATCACTCTACTAGTTCTGATTTTCACAGAAACCCCTTTTTACTGCACTCCCTTCTGAAGCTGTAACAAGCTTTATTATACCTAAGCCTATTTTCCACAGCATCTGAAATAGACAAAAATATATTTCAACTCTTATTATTTTAAATACTGAAGGATTTATTCTTGATTTTTCTTGATGTTTCAGTAGATGAGAGTTTTGCTAAACTCTCAAGAAACAGAATTTTAATTTCAAGAATGCAAGGTTATTAGCAAGAGATGCACCAAGTGTATCTTAATACAAATCTCTCTGGCTTGACTTTTTAAAGAAAAAAATTAAGTGGACATTTTCTGCCAAGTTACACAATAACCTCTCCCCACCATGAAACTCTGTCATTGGATTCGGTTGTATCCACAGACAACTACCTGAAACAGCACTTTGCAATTTCCAAGTTTCATGCCAAAGTGAAAGAAAAAGAAAAGAGCAACTACTCAGAAAATAACTGTAACTACAAAAATGTGTTTTCACACATGATAAAAATCAATGGTTCCCGTTGTGGGTAGTGAGAAGTTTCACCGCAATACATCAAGTCTGCCTAGGCTGAGACTGCTCACTGTCTCGAGCAGCAGACACATCACTCCCCCTAAATACACGTAAACATTTCCTTTCTTTTCAAATAAACATACCAGTTTCTTCAGGAGTGCACAATTCTGAAATTTCCATCGCCACATATGATGGTGTAGAATCAGTCTTCTGAACAGAGGCCAGAGATAATGATTTTCCACTCTTATTTTCTGGAGTTTGAAACATTTCAGTAATTCCTATAATTAACATTTAGAGAAATTGAGCATATGCTTTGAAAAAGAACTACACGGTCGGCAGAGTTTAAAAAAAAGACAGACTTTAAAAAAACCTTACCTGTGAAGCTTTCGTCCATATTCATGTTTAGCTTCAAGACAGGATTTTTTACCACTTTTGGGACTCGTCCAGACGTTCTGACTGTGGTGGAATAAGCTCTACCTACAACTATTGTAGCAGGTGACTCTGCATGACCTGTACTAAAATGACCTTTTACTTTCCTTTCTGGAGTCTGCAGGGGAGAAATGGACAAAATCAAACATGAAAAAACACCAAAAAGTTAGCAAAGAGATTCGTTTTATCGACAACTTGTATTTCTCATATGCTGTGACAAAAACATCAACATCCATTTAACATCACGCTAAAAGCTCAGAAGCTTCCAGTTTCTCTAGCAGAATATCTACACATTGTTTTGTGTTTATGAAAATAAATAAAAATGCAGAAAGAAAAAGAATACCTTTGGGGACTGGGTTGTTTTCTTCAAGGATCTTCCTTTTCCAACACTTTTTTTAACAGTCTTTGACTGTGGTCTTGCAACGCCTAATTTTACCACGTCCGCCCAAGATTTTGCAACTAGAAAGCCAAAGAGAAACAACCACTTTAATTCTCAGCTGCATAAACAGAATTCACAATAATTTCTTTACGAGCCCAGTGGACTTGCTGCAGTCAGGCACAGAAAAGCAGTTTTATCATCTGACACCACCTACACCGTGGTGCCCTGCGAAACGCTTTCAGCTGCAAGACACGGTTTCAGATGAATTTTAACACGTGTCCAAGTGCCCCGCATGGCCTTCCACAACAAAACAACAGCAGAAAGCTTCACACAGTGCCAAATAGATGTTAGATCCTGCAAGTGAATGCTGGCCCAACTCTGTCCTCACTCTCTCTGCAAGGAAATATTTTACACCCCCCCAAAAAAAACCAACCACCTTGCCATGAGCCCTTCAGCCTCATTCATTATTATAGCTGAACTTTTCCCTGGTGGGACATTTGACTTAACATCAGAGAAATGGCTTCTAAGTGAAACATATCCAGCTTTTCTTTCACCACCTTCCCAGGGAATTTCACAGGAAGGAAATTATTTATTTCTACTGCTTACAGCACTTAGATCTACACAGACTTTCCAAAAATTTTCTTATATCACTTTCTCCTTATAACACGCTCTGAGAAATTCCCAAAGCAAGGCTACCTTTATCACAGCATCATTCTTTACACAGCAGAGCAATCAGGGAACTGGTTAGAGCTGTGCAATAAATGACGTTGTAAGTCGCTGGGACATCTGCCTCATTTACCTCAGAAACAGGCTATGAGAAGACAGGGATCGATTATTTTTTAAAGTAGAGATAAAAAGGGGAACACTGTTCCTGAAGAAAAGGATATTATTGTCTTGACAGAATTGCTGGGCAAGTCTGTAAATAAAAAGAACTTGCAAGAAGAACTTGCTGGGGTGTTCAGGATGCATGGAAACATGTCAGGCATGTAGGAAATTATTTTAAAAGATACGCCAATCATTTGGTGACCTCTGCATAACAAAATAGGCTTCCTTCAGTTTCATTCCTGTATTTTAAAGCATTAAACACTAAAAATTAACTGCTGAAACAAACCTAGTAAGTTGGCACTAGAGGCACCACTTCTTCTTTTTGCACTGAAAACTGCTACAGCCCCACTTCTCCTCTTCATGGGAGTGACCTTATGAGCAAGTTGAGCGCTTCTCGTTGGTTTGTGAGGTGTAGCTGTCGAAAAGGTTTTATCATCTCGGTTCACATGAGAAGACTTTGGTGTTGTCACTTGGGCACCATTTTTCTCCTTTGTATTCACGTCTTCTGCAACAGCATCCATCTCCTCTGCAATTGGTAACGGTGCCAGGACGCGAGAAACAGAGAAACGTCCTTTGGTGTAAGGTGCTGGAGAGCCAAAAGGAAGTTTAGGTGTTGCCTTGCCAGAGGCAGGGGATGAGGCAGAAGGGGACTTCTGGGCCAATAATTTTTTCGGTGATGTTTTCTCATTCTGAAAACAAACAAACAAAAAAACTCATAAAGAAAATATTACTTCACTTAACTGAACTACAAATGCTCATCTACACCTCAGACAAATAAATACAGTAGTATAAAGTATCACCACGTCATTTGAAAAAGCCTTAAATGTCATTCCCTGAAAACAAACTTGCAACCAGCTTTAAACTTCAAAACAGTCTCAAGACACATGCAAATTCAAGTGAATAAATTAACTGACTTTATGATGTTGCTTTATTCAAGTACACTACACACATTTGGACTAGTTGAAATCGACAGCAAATGTTTTCAAACTTCTACCCAAACCACATAGCAGTAGCCTCCACAGTCTGCCAACAAACTGCTGTGCTGTATTCTGTTATTTATGGTAAACTAGAGCTTGGAGACACCGCTGCCATGAACAAACAATACAGAAATATACTCCCCTACATGCATGTGAGGTGTAGAAAAACACACCTCCTGTAGAGTAGATATAAAGGCTAAGCTCAGCCCCTTCCTACAAGGAAAAACTTTTAAAAGCGCTGATTAAAACTTCCCAATTTCAAATACCATTTCATAACTTCCAATTAAAATTTCCACTTCCACTTTGCCTCTAAATAAAAGTTCACTACTAACTTTTAATTCATTTTGAGAAGTCTTGGAATTCCTACCTTCTGTTTGCATTGACTGTCTTAGCGACTCGACTGGTCTTAACGTTTACCTGGACTGCAAAGTGCTTCAATCCCTGAGTCTTTTTCAGAACGGCACGTGGCGAGTTCCCGAAGGGTAAGCTCAGTCTCGCAGGAATTGCACCTTTCTTAAGGGGCGAGTTGGGAGGTAAGCTTTTATCAAAGAGTTCTGGACTCAGATGACCACCAAAAGACACTCTCTTTCTTTTTCCTAAAGGCTGAAGTATCAAATCATCACTTTTCCTCTTCTGAGATATCCTTTTCGTCTTGCCTAAAAACAATTGAAAATATTTCTGTTCAGCCAAAAATCCAGGCTGACATTTTAACCGGCATCAAAACCTGTGCTTACTTGTGCATTTTAAAGTTGGAAACATATCAGAAGGTAACTTACCTTAAAGAGAAAGAGATTCAATTGAGTAAACATTTATGTATATTATTATTATGTGTATTTATATATATTTATGTATATTATTATTATTTTTATGGTCAAAAATAACTAATATGTCAGCAACAAGTTCAACGTTTTATAAAAGCAGAAAAATTCTCATAAAAACACTACAAGAATCTATCAATACAGAAACAATGAAGCAGGGGGATTAAACATATTTACCTGATTCGTCTACAGCCAACAGGCCAGAATTATTCATTTCTGAGACAGCCTCATTGTCCTCCAGTACAGCAGCACTTCCAGAGGACCTTCTCTTTGACGACAACCTACGCAGTCTTGTAACATCTGCCAGATCTTGCTCCTGGTGACACCTCTTTGTGCCCAGCAATTCTTCAGCTTCACTCTCTTGTCTGTCTGCGGTTTTATCATGATGTTCTTGACCGGCACTTGTCTCCAAAGCTTTCTCAGAGAGCAGTCCAGAGGACCTTGGCCTACCCCTTTTTCTCCCAGAGCCAGGTTTCTGACCAGCCGGAGACACCAGTTCAGACGTTAACTCTGCTGTAGCCAGTGTCTCCAAACGGACACTTTTGTTTGATAACTCTTCGCTTTGCCTGTTATTTCTTTTGGGACTCTTGGAATTAGAAGAAGAGGAAGGAGTTTCAGAATATCCATCTTCCGAGCTAACAAAGTTTGCCTGATCACAAATTTCTTGCGGCACTTCTTTGACAGGTTTTCCTGGTGTGTGCTCTTTACTATTTTGTCTTTGCTTTACGCATTTTTCTGCCAGAGGCAGCTCTTGGAGGCCGTCACTTTGGCACAGTGAACCTTCCCTTTGAGTTTCCACCGCAATTTCTGAAAGAGACTTACGTTTCAATGACAGACGTCGTCGAGGTGTTGGAGTATCGGTATTTACTGCATTCATTCCACTAGTTTCTTCCACAGGTGTTGTGAAACGAGATCGAGGACTCTTCCTTCTGGACTTTGGTGTAGACAGATCGCACTTATCTACTTCAGAAACGTTTGTGGCATTACTTGTTTGTGGCAGTTTATCCAGAGGTGCTGCCAAGCTGTGTCTTTGCATTCTGTCTGCGTAACCCAAGCGTTCTATCGAACACTGCTCCCGTGGAAGGGCTGCATTTCCATCATTCTCCTTCCTGGGTTTGGGTGTAACTTCGGTAGCCTTAGATCTGCCGGCTGTACTTGGATGCTCGCAATCTTGCAAGTGACTTCTTTTGCCGATATCTCTTGACATCTCCTTTGAAACAGGAGTCCGAGGACTTCTGGTAAAGCTCTTGGTAGCACTTCCTGTAACTGAGATCTGGCGGATTTCTTCTTCCCTTATTGTGATTTTACATCTTTCCATTTTTTCACCTCTGCCCATTTCTTTTTCTTTAGTCAGGCTTCCCAGATCATAAAAACAACTTGATGATGAAAACAGAGCACCTGGCTCACTCTTACCATCTTCTTTTGCAGCTCGTTGAGATACATTTCCCTCCTGCAGAGGTTTTTTCACTTGAATCTCATGTTTCAGTTTTTCATAGAGTTTACTGAAGGGAGACATCTCAACTTGCTTTCTAAGAGATTGATGCATTCGGTGCGAAGATTTGGGTGTCTGTAGTTTGACAGATACAGCTTTGAAAATATTTTCCTCTGCATTTCGTTTATTTTCATTGCCGGTTTTTTCTTCACACTCAGCATTATCTACAAAGTAAGCAAAGCAAAACAGAAGCAATACAGACGCAGAGTTAATTAAAAATTGCAGAACTACAAATAAGTTCCATAATTGGAGATTGAAAAAAAAAAATAAATCCTTGCAATCTCCCAAGTTGGTCAACCAAGATGCAGTACTGTAAATAAAACTCTGTTAACAATAACAATCTGTCTCATAGTAGGAGCCTGAGAATCTAAATGTTTAATTTAAAGTTGTAATCTGGAATTTGTCCTATATTCAGGGAAGGCACTTAGTATTTTGCCCTTCTGTTTTCCTTTGGAATCAACAGCCACAACTACAAGACTACTTTGTTTCAGCAACAAATGCTGAGAGGTGTTGACTTTTCTTAATAGTGATGGGAAATAATCCATGTAAAAATGAAGGGAAAGCTTGTCAGTCTCTTCTGGGAAAGGGGAAAAGGAGCAAGGGGCGAAAGAGGAGCATGAGCAAAACCAGGAAATTAGATCTTTCTGAGAAAGCTTTTACCCATCTGCAGACATGTATATCAGCAGTGTTTTTACTAAGCTGACAAGTTGTTCCCTTAAAGTTGATGGAACAACTGTTGTATCGCAAGACATACAAGACATCGGGGAACTTGTCACCCAAACCTCTGAATACAGATGTGTGCACAACAACCCACTGAAAAAACAGCTTTTTTTTTTTTTTGCACTAAAACAAATGCTTGTCACAAAATCAAACCTGTCTGTAGATAAATAGCCTCTTTCTAATAAACCTTGTGTCTTCCCATGAAAATGAGCATTCCCATAGTCTGTAACTACCCAGACATAGTAGCTCTAGATTTTTACTGAGTCTACATGAAACAGCTATTGCAAATGATTATTTCAGTCAGCAAAAGCAACCTTTCCTATATATCCCCAAAATTACACCTGTTTCCATTTCTCATTATGAAAGAATGCATAAGATAATGCAAAATTTGCTCAAAAGGCATCTTAGCTGTGTTCTGGAGAGGACTGCAAACGAAATTTTAATCACAAAGTTGAATTTGCCAAATTATACTTGTTTGATACTGTTGAAAAGTAAAATAGACAATTGTTTCACGTATCACTTTCAACTGACATTTGTACTGCATTGGCAAAGCTGGCCTACTGCACTCTGTTCTTAGCGATAAACTTCGCAAACTGAATTTGCACAAATCACTTGAAGTAAAACCTCTGGATTTTGCCTGTTCCAGGTTGTTACTGCCCATTTGTCAGGATGCAACTCAACTGACAACTCTGGGCAGGAGTTAGCTTTGGTAAATCATAGCGTCAAAATATGATGAGATAGTACACTGACATAACCGAGGCACACTGAACTCAGATTGTAAAGTTTTAAAGCACGTTTCTTTTGCTAAGAATAAATGCAGTCAAGGGTGAAGAAGAAAACAAAGGCCTCATAAACCAGGTACCAACCTGAAGCATGAAGACTTTTAGATCTTGAAGTTTGTTTGTGTAATTCCACTTCTCTGCTGAACATGAAGAACCTGTAAATTTGTACAATATTACAGCAGAGCAACAAGTATCTTATGGTTTAGCTTTCAACTGTGCATTTAAAAACACTAGGTTTATAAAAGTACGTGCATTTTTTACTAAACAGGCTTAAAAGTATGCAAACAAAATTCTCTGATATTTCAGAACTGAAGAACATTGACCAATACACATTTAAGACCCTAAAGAACAAAAGTTTAAGCCTCGTTTTATCATTAAAACTAGCTCTAAAAGCAGCTGTAGTATAAGAATCTACATGAGCACATTTGAATCTCGCCTTCTCTCCAGACCTAATGGAAAATAAGAACTAGAACATAAAACCCCCCGATATCTTTCAATAGCCACAGTACTCACAAACTAACACTATCTCCTTTAAGGGAGAAAACTTTATTGAGAATAAAAGAAATTAATGAAAATAAATTATTAAAAGATAGGCTTAGTTTGTTATTTATAAATTCCAACAATATATTTGTGTACTAGCATACAGAACAGCTTCTTTTCGAAAAAGAATGTTCATTCTCTAGGGCAAACTTCTCCACTTAAAGTACAAGAATATCCAAGGCCCATACTCCGCATTTTCTGTACTCAGTTCTCTCTTCGAAAAAGCTAGAGATGAATTTTTAATAGCTCACCTGTACTGGTAACTCATAGATTATTACATCCCTATTACCATCAACTGGCAAGTGTAGAAATAATAAATTATTAATTTCTTTAAAAAGTATTCATCTGAAGGATGTTGATTTGTATTTTCAAACAGAAAGGTAGTATCTGGCTGAAATATTATTTCTAGCAAAAAAAATCCCACAAAAACAACAACAGAACAAAGGAGTAGAATACTCTATCACAAGTAATACCAACTTGCAATAAATAAGCCTATGGCCATGAACTTACCTGCAGAGTTTCATTTTTTGGAGATCTAGAACGCCTCTTTCTTGGAGTTGATTGGAGAGGATATTCAAATCTGGAAGAAATATTTAAGATAAACAATGATTTTTTGTCAAATAGTCGATGTCTAAATTCTCTCTATTAAGATAAATGATCTAGAAATAGTTGTCCACTGCCAGCCATAGAGACATATCACTTTTAAAAGCTTTAACTACACCAAAATATTTCTAAATTTTCCCCTAAAAGTGACTATGCTTGGAAAAAAAAAAAATCAAAACAATCTCTCCAGACAATTCTGTCTTTATTGCTTTAGCTTAACATAATATAAAAACGATTAAAAAACCAAAAAAAAACATTTCTAAGCAACCTTGCCTCCTTAAGAAGGCCTATAGAAGACCACGAAGAAATATGAAATAAACTAGATTAACTTCCATTTCTGAAGATGGCAGAAGGACATTTTAATTTTTCCCATTTATCCACAGCCACCTTCTGTTTCTTCAAGAGCCTGGGTCTACCGAGCTCTCGGCACCATTTGCGTGCAGAACACATCCCAGGGTTGAAGCACTAACGGTTTGTCACTGGCACTTACCTGAAAGAACGATCAATAATCGTTAACACGTCTCCGTGCTTCAGGGGTACAGGTTGCTGAAAACAGCCACCATTCAGCTGCGTAGGATTTACCGCACTTAAGTTCGTCAATATTGCCTAAAAATAAAACAAACACTTCAGTAGCCTGATGAGATGCAACGATGCAATGCATCTGTGGGCAAAATACATATACCTTACCTCCTTGTTTTCATTTACTTCAATTTTACAATGTTCTTTGGAGACCTGAGGCAATTGGATGCGAATATCACACTCGCTTCTCCTGTGGGTGAAAACACAATTTGAGTTTCAAGACAGAGAACAGAAAAAAAATCTGACTCTTATAGAATTAGGTGATTCCATAACTTCTCAGCTAATAGCTGTACAGCAGCACAACACTTCCTTAACTTCGGGAGCATGAAGAAAACGAACTACCCAAGTCTCACACCTCAACAACATCAGTGAATCTGTACCAGAAAAAACATGGTGAAATACCCAGAACCAGTTAACAGCAACTGAAAGGGACATCTCTACAACAGCTACCTGGTAGTTTGAGTTTACTTGTTCCCCGACTTGCAAGTTGCCAACAACTTGTGGAAAATTTTTAGAAAATACCAGTACATGCTCTTAAGCTCGCTCTCGCACATTCGTTACCGGTCACTCTTGAGACAGAATATTAGGCAGACAGACCTTCAGTCTCACCTGGACAGCCACTTCTGCCTTCTTAGAAGTTGTACGTAAGTGAAAGCTGTGATTTTAAGTGAACAGACTGGGTTTTTTGTCTGGGTTTTTTTTTTTCCTTTTTTTTTTTTTAAGGTAATCTCTAATGCTTTTGACATCCTGTAGGTCTGAGGCAGCAAACCTATCAGCCATCAGGCCAAAGTGCCATTCACAGAAGCCCTGACACCTATCACTGAAGCAGCTGGCAGAAATCAAGGTTGGTGCTGCAGAAGCCAGGGAACAGTATTACTGATCCTGGAGTGCTTCCCACAGACTTCCACTGTGAAATCTAACTCCAGACTGAATAAATACACTTATTAAAAGATACCTATCAGTCAGTAAAGTGCGAAGAGATCTAGCTTAAGAGAAGCAGAACATTTTATCTGAATCCTATTTATAGTAAGATCATCTAGTCAAGCCTTCACATATATCATTCAAGTACATTCATTTTATCTTTTAAAGCAAAATAGCTGGATCAAGCTCAAAATGCACTATCACCCAACTGTGTAAAGCAAAGTGATTTTCAAGACTGGAGGAAGATGTATAAGTTGTTATTCATGTTTAATATTAATTCAAGATACTGGCTGACATATTGTTACTGAAGTTTTGGAGAACCCAAAAATAAAATTAAGAGCGCTGATGTGATGAATATGGTCAAATACAAGCCACATATTTTGCTCTTCTTCACTAGTCAATTATCCAGATAAAAGAATCACTTGCTTATCAACTGTGCATCCCTTCTAATCCTTTCCCCACATTTCCTTTGGCCAGAAACTTCTGTGAGTTTTTGTTTTGTTTTTTTTTTTTTTTACATAAAAATAGTTATGGCAAGGAAAGGATAGAAAAATGTAACAAGAATTAAGTTCTTCTTTCTAGTCTTCCAATTAACCTTTGTCCAATACTACCTTCCCTTTCAAGAACATGATTCACAAATACACAAGTATTTAATTTTGCAAATAAGTACGAAAAGCTATCATCTGAAGGAAAAATATCACTAAAGTTATTCTGGTGTACACACAGGTACCCAACTAATTCTCACCTTCCAAACAAACAAGAACTTGCAGTGAGTGGAAAACTAATTCCATCCGTCCCATTCCGTTTAATAACAATAATATTCCCAAAGATCGGCATCTTCAGACGTAAGGAACCTTACCTATAAAAGAACATCAAGATTACTCATACAAATAACACTTTAGTTACAGAAATAAATGCCTCTTTTTTTCTTTCTTAAACTTCTGTTCAGGATGTATTTTCCAACGTACAGGGGAAGAGTTTCAGTGTCATTTACACGGCCCTGCCCGTGTAGAAAACTGGGAAGTATTTACCATGAGCAACCACTGTCATCTTACCCAGGAAGCTGAAGGCACTACATTATTTGGAGAAGATGATGCTTATAGTGGCAAGAACAGTCATCATGCTCGTGTAAACTCAGTTATACTACTTCTACATGCGCGATAGATATTTGCTACCCACCAGAGCCTTTGCAAAGATTTAGGGCCAACGTGTACAATATTTCACCCCATATGCAACTTATAACTATTCCCATGTAAACAGCCAATCCTCCTCGACTAAATCTAGATACTACACTTCCTTCTTATACACATGGAAATTCTGAAACTTGATTTTAAAGTAAACAGAGACCAGCTGGCTATAGTTGCATCCTCCTGAACAAGGCAACGGTGGCATTCTCAGGAAGAAGCATTTGCAAAAGACACTTAGAAAGGCAGATGGAGGTTCAGGGCTTGCTAGGATCCCGGGGTGAGCTGCTGATACAGCCAAAAGGGTGGCAAGTGCACATACAGAGAAAGCAGAAGGAACGGCATTTAGCTTGCAAAACGAACCCCAAACCCACCGCGTTTGCACAACAGATACGCGATTATTCTCAGATATAAACGTGAACGCACCACGAACTACAAGTAATCCTCAGGAAAGCGTCTATAGAACACAGCAAAGCGGCAATTTAAAAGCAAAGGTCCTAATGGAGCCAAGAGAGATCCTTCTGAACCCTGCTGCTCGGTTTCGTGCCATAGAAGTTGCTGAAAGAAAGCTCCAACCAAACACAGCTTCGGGCAAATCTGACAGCAACCTTGAGGAAAAGCCTTTACCCGTACGTTACAGGACACGGCAGTTTTCAGCTTTCCTCCCTGTTCACAGTTCCCAACAACTCCTACAAGCCAGAAACA